GGGCTCGGCTGGCTGGGCTCAGTCGGGCTCGGTCGGGCTCAGCCGAGTTTCTCCCGGCCCGGTTCGGCCAAGCTCGGCCCAGCTCGATCCAGTCATGTTGACCTCCAACCTCCCTCATCCGACTCAACCCAATCTACCTCCTCCGTCTCACCTCCAATGCGACTTGACCTATATTCCCTCATCCAACACAACCCAATCTTCCCTCTCCGTCTCAACTCCAATGCGACTTGACCGTATCCGACAACCCAACCTACCTCCTCCGTCTCAACTCCAATGCGACTTGACCTATATTCCCTCATCTAACGCAACCCAATCTTCCCTCTCCGTCTCAACTCAAATGCGACTTGACCGTATCCGACGCAACCCAACCTACCTCCTCCGTCTCAACTCCAATGCAACTTGACCTACATTCCCTCAACCAACGCAACCCAATCTTCCCTCTCCGTCTCATCTCAAATGCGACTTGACCTATATTCCCTCATCCGACTCAACCCAATCCTCGTCCTCCGTCTCAACTCCAATACGACTTGACTTAACCTCCTTCATCCGATCTAACCCAACCTACCACCTCCGTCTCTACTCCAATACGACTTGACGTAACCTATTCATCCGACTCAACCCAATCTACCTCCTCCGTCTCAACTCCAGTGCGACTCGCCCTACCCTCCCCCCATTCGATTGCACCCATCCTGGGCCTCCCGTGACGCGCGTGTCGGTTGGCGGTGCGCAGGCGCCGGGTGCGGCGGGCGCACGTCGCGCCTCTCGTCCGTGGGGTCGGCCGGGTCGGCGGCGTCGCGCGGCTCCCGCCTGTCGGCGCTGTCCGGGGCGTCGGCGGCGTCGGCGGCGCTGTCGGGCGCCGGGTCGCTGTCACGCTCGCCCTCGCCGCACCGCATGCTGCTCGAGACGAGCTTCTGCGGCTCCAAGCCACTGGCCACCGCCGCGCCCACTGCGGTGCCCAATGCAGTCGCCGCGCCGCTACCCAACGCCGCCGCCGCCGTGCACTCCACCGACGCCATGGTGCACGCGTCCGCCGACGAGCCGCGCTCCCCGGCGCAGGACAAGGTGAGCCTTCTTCAGGGCGAATATCTTCCCCTTAGAATCGTACATTCCCGTACACCTGTAATCAGAATTTTTAATATCCACGACGAGCCTTTCTAAGAAAAAATGTAACTGTATATTCCTGATAAGGACCGTATATAATGTTGCCGACCATCTTTCTATGGCCTTCTTCGTGGCGAAAGTAAACACATTATTTTCCGTCGAGATGTGCGTGAAGTCCTACACTTGATTCACATGATAACTCTCGAGCTTGTCTCCGTCCGTGACGTGCACTGCACCGACGCCATGGTGCACGCGTCCGCCGACGAGCCGCGCTCTCCGGCGCAGGACAAGGTGATCCTTCTTCAGGGAGAATCTCTTCCCCTTAGTTGTATATATCCGAATACCTGTAATCATATTTTTTAATTTTCATTATTTCATAACAATAATAACAAATTTTAAATTATTAATAAATTTAATTTTTTTATATTTACGACGAGTACTTCTGGGGCGTTTCAGACATTCTTTTGTGAAAACATAATTGCCGTCCCTACTGTTGGTCAAATTAAAATGTGGACCTCGTTTCGTTAAAATTTACTGGCCAGTGTTTTGAGCCTTCTTCAGAAAAAATGTAACTATATATTCCAGGGAAGGATCGTATGTAATGTCGTCGACCACCTTTCCATGGCCTTCTTTGTGGCGAAAATAAATACATAATTTTCCGTCGAGATGCACTACATGAAGTCGTACACTATATATTTATCTTAGAGTTGTAAATACCTGTAATCAGACTTTCTAATATTCACGATGAGTACTTCTGGGGTGTTTCAGACCTTCTTTTAGGCAAATATAAATTATGTCCCTGTTGGTGATCTGAATAAAATGTGGACCGGCTTACGTAGAAATTTACTGGCCAGTGTTTGGAGCGTAATGGTCAGGCCTTCCTTACGGAAAATGTAACTATACGATATATATCCCCGTATATATCCCTGGGAAGGATAGTATGTAATGTCGTCGACCACAATGCACTACGTGAAGTTGTACGCGTTAATGCGATTCACATGATAATTCCTCCCCGTTCCAGACCCAGTCGCCTAGTTCACGCGTCCGCCTACGAGCAGCGCTCAATGACCCAAGACAAAGTGAGTCGTGTTCTTTAGGGCAAAGGATTTGAGTGTGGGTTTTTTTTTTCGAAGACATAGTTATCTCTCCGAATACTTACCAGTAAACTTTTTTAATTTAAAGAAGTTTCACGACAGATACTTGTGGGCAGTTTCAAACCTTCTTTTGGGGAATCATATTTCCTTACCTACAGGTAATGTGATTAAAATAAGTACCGCGTTTTGTTGAAACTTACTGGCCAGTTTTTTTAACATATTATTCTAGTCTTTGGTGGTGCAAATGTAACTCTAGAATATTCCAAGCAAGGATAATATGTATTGTTGTCGTCCATGTATTGAAATCATTCTTTTTGCGACAACTTGCCCACTGCCAGAAAGTTAAGTGTGTGACCGGTCGAAGCCACGACGGGTTCATGTCGACTTTCGTCAGGCCAAATTTAATTCATATTTACAGAGATTGAACTTATTCAATAGTGGGCGGTGTTACGTCGAAAACATTGGCAAGTGTTTTCAACAACTTAAGTATATGTTCGAGACAAAGGTTTTACATATCGTCGTCCATCTTTTCATTGCCTTCTTCGGGAGAATAGTAATAATTTATTTTCCGGTAAGATTTACTAAGTGAAGTCGTAGATTTACGTCCTCTGAATCCCTTAAGAACTTATTTGCAGAACGAGGTGAGCGCATTACCGTACCATTCTGTAGGGGGAGGCTTGGATATATTTCTCATGCACTTCTATCTCCCTAATAACTGTAAATAATATTTTATGTCCGAGGGACACCATGTCAAATGCTTGTCGACCAAGTTTCTAAAAACCTTTTGAACTTCAAGGTAAAAATAAATATCCATTCTGTAAAAGTTGTCAAATGTAGTCCGACACATAGTTTTCACGTTGACACACATTTCACAAATTCCTTCAAATGTGTTCAAATAGAAATAAAAATATGTATTACGCAGAGATGAACAGTATAACGTAAAATCTGTCCAACTGAAGGCTTGTTGGCAGACATTTCTGTCATTTCCTTTCGACCATCTTCAGAGCTAATTATAGTACTCTGTCCGAAAAGATACTTATTTTTTATCGTACATCCTGACGAAAAAAACTTACTTCAAATGTTATAATAAGTTTACTCACTTTTTATTATTTTAAAACGATCTCTTTTACATAAATAACAATTCGAGGTTTCGAACTCACCTGCTAGAAAACTAAGTAAGAAATGTTTGTGGTGGAAAAATGCAATAATTTAACCTGTTAGTTGGGCCTGCTACGGTGCTCGAATCATTGTAGGTAAACGCGATCACCTCCGGAGCTCAAGACATGGGTTTATTATTAGCAAACTTACTCTTGTGCGGGTCACGCTGCGTAGACAACTGTCAATGTCTCAACAATTTTCTTGTGATATTTTTCTTCAAATGAGGGCCAGCAATAAAATGAAAATGATAGCCTTCACAAAAAAGTCTTCACGGGATTATTGATATTTATTTCGCTCGTCAGGCACTTTTTTCTTTGCTACTTGTTTTATTTATTTTTAGATTATTGTCTTAATTATAGTTATGTATGAGACCGTAGCAACCCTTATTCTTTGGCTCCAATCTTGCTAGAACATTCTACAATATTACCTAAACCTATTTTATACAATGTGTACTGTATGTAAATGACACCTTGTAAATCTAACTGTACAAAGTAGAACAATCTAATAGTTTTGTGTACAACTAAAATAGTTTAAATCTGTATCTTTCGCTGAAAAAATGCTTGCTTAAATAGTATATACACTGCATGAAGAAGCAATTCTCCCCAGTGGCACAGTTTACGATTTCAAGGGACAGATCGAACAAAATAATGTAGTAAATGAATGTTCGCCTAATATATTTTCCAGTCGAGAAGATATATGCTAAATAACACGGTAAAATATTTTTTCGAATATTGTGAATTATTTTTGTCACACACTAAACTTCTTTTTATTTAACTTAGTTAAGTTGGTCTTTTCATGTGATAGATCGTTAATATTTTTCAAATAAATCACATGTTATTAACAGACGATAGCCACAAAAACGTAGAAAAGTGGCTGAGAAAAATCCTAAACTTTCAAAAGATGATTTTGTCAAAATCTCGGAATACAATTTCCATGCGATTACAAAACATACTGAAAACTACCAATATAAACATCAAATGTATTTACACGTGGAGAAATAATAACGAAAACCTGATCTGAAAACAGTGCGAGTGTAGAATCGGAAGCCATTCATGCGAATGAGACAGAGAGACCGTCGAAAATGATTATACGAAAAAAGATAAAATGAGAGAGCTAGTACCAGAAATGATTTTAGAGGCTATTACGTCTTGTTGGATGATTATGATACGTTTACTAGCATTTAGGTTTATTACGATACGAAACCTAATCAAATAAAATGAGATATTGTAGTTTATTTTCAAAAAGGCGTTATTTAAATATTTTGTATATTATGCTGTATTCCAGTATTTTCTTTATATAATTGTGGTCTCGTAAGTTCTCTTGAATGAGAATGTTTCCGAACGTCTCTTTAAAACATATATACAAATATTTCAGAAATTGCTGCTAATGGATTTTGTATTTCGGCAACATTGGCTTGATATAGGAGGTCCGCACAGCAAAGAAACAGGGTATGCAACCAGTAATACAGTTCAGTTATGCGGGTCAATATAAACTAACCCCTGGTGTGAGCTAGGAGACCTGAACCATTGCCTTGTTACGCCCATGATACGAATGCTAGGTGATATTTAATACAAAGGAGAGTGTGACGACAAACAATAACGAAATTATAGAGAGACCACAACGAAAGGAAACGCAACGAGAGAGAGAGGGTGAGAGGAAGAGAGAGTGAGAGTGAGAAAGAGTGTGAGAGAGGGATGGAGGAGAGACGATCAACGAAAGAACAGAATACGTAGAGTAGCAAGACTAGAAAGAAGAGAAAAAAGGGGGTGAAAAAGGAAAGAGGGTTGAATAATAATAGAGATGTGTCTGAGGAAAAAAGTAAGGAAGCAAAGAGAGGAAACCGAAAAAGATAAATGGAGTGAAGAAGAGGAGAATGAGGCAACAGTATTGTAGGGTAACAGATGTAACTAAGGAAAAGGAAAATGTAAGGCAAAGAAAATGGAAAAAAGTAGGATGAAGTGCAAAGTATGAGAACTGCGTGAAGCCATCTACACAAGAGCAGAGGGAAGGGAGCAACAGCGTGCAGTTTTCGTGTGTGTGTGTGTGTGTGTGCGAGTGTGTGTGTGTGCGAGTGTGTGTGTGTGTGCGAGTGTGTGTGTGTGTGC